TCGCTGTCTGGGCTGCGTGTAGAGGGGGCAAGGGCCCTGAGCTGATGATGAGCCTTACCAGCCTGACTGTGCCAGGATCACCCGAACCCTCTCTGCTGCATACTATCTTTAATCTGTAAAACATAATAATGTGTCCATTTATTTAGCGCCAAACTCCACACTAGGTATGCTCATAGCGCTAACAATCAAGGCACAGCACATTATTTCCCCGAATAGCACCTTCACTATAGCGCCTGTAAATGCAGCAACATTGCCATGTGTTGAACACTATGATGGAAATATATGCTAGCCACATAAAGAAACTCGGCACACAGAAAATTCCTTCAGAATTGGAATACAACACAGAGAAGACGAAATGATGTGGACACTTTATAAGCTGAAGTATCGGGCCACAACAACATGTCATCAGAACATGAACAATATCCGTAACGATGACGTCAGAAGTTCAATATTGAGTAGGGCGTCACACGTCGAAGTCACAAAGTCAATAACGGATATGACCATCATGCGCGTGAAGCACAGTAGTGCATCGACAACGCATAGACGCTACCAAATGAGCATTGAAGGCCTGTGGAATGGTTTGGGACGTGATCACTGCCGTCTGGAACCTGTGTCTGAGATGAGTCACCCGAATCCATCTGTCCTGTCTTGGCGTCGTTACTCGGGGACCCCCAGAACGTGGGTGGTCGGCAAATCATTACTGTTTCCATAACGCCTGACCAGTGCAGATATCGTGTTACGATGACATTGGAAATGTGCTGCCACCTGTTGTTGGCTCATGCCTGCTCGAACCATTCCAATGGCTTCATGACGTTGAGCAGATGTTAATCTTGGCATGATGTGCATGTGACTTCTCATGTGAATTTGTGAACGTTTGAATGAACAAAGATCAAGTTGCACAGGCTGACGTGCAGTGAGCGTTTGATTGTCTCAATGACGTCAATCGCCTGGCACCTGCATTTGATTGTCTCCAATACTTGCTATGTTCACACCTTTATTTATGTATAAAAACGCTGTCTGCCTATCTTTATATTTTCTGTGTGCACAGTTTCTTTATGTGGCCAGTATACATCCTAACAAGAGGAAAGCATATTTCCGAAAGGTTATCATAGGTGATGCGTCCTCTGTCTTTGTGGCGCTGGGATACGCAGTTCTTCGACGTGCTAACAATGGCTGGGAATTCTCGGCAATGTACGCAGAAAATGGTGACGTAGCATACGAACTAATGAGAACGCTTCTTGACAAAGTCCTTGATGGAGATATGATTACGATGATTCCCTATGCGTAAAACCGTTCGGCCATTAACCTTTTGCAGCAAATTGGGTTTGCTTACCAAACTAAATTCACGTTGATATAGTAAAGGAAACCTTTGCACGTGCCTGTGAACGAAACATATTGTGAGGCTGGTACTAATTCACGCCTTTGACAATTCAGCACAGATGAAACTCATTGTTTCTGAAGCATTGATGTCCGGTCCTACTATATTTATCTTACCCTCACGCATAAGTGTCGTTTTCTGATTGGTTGAGTGCTCTTCTATTATTTTCAGTGTACCCCGCCTACAAGCGAGTAACATTTTCTGTGTTACCCTCCGAGATTGCCGAACTGTGGGAATTCATTTGGTACTTCGTGTTAGTAATTCTTTATCTCGAATAATTGAGTCACGTATGATGAACGGAAATTACCGATGTTTTGCGAATGCAAATCTGTGGAAGGGAGATAACTCTAAATGTGTTTTTCTTGTCGTCCGTCGTTGTCGGTATTGGCCAATTGCCCAACTCTGGTACTCCTTTTTCACTCTCCTACCCAGAGTTCCATGCGGCAAGCCAGCATAGTACCTCTGCCACAGGCCAGAAAAATGTGACGATTCCTCACATCTTGCACTGTCCATTCAATATAATGTACAGATTTCTTTTACTCTTTTATTTTTGACGAGTCTACACAGCTAACTAAACATCTTTAATAGAATGAACTAGTTTCACTGAGAAAATATCCAAAAAATGTAACACTATTTCGATTTGCGTAGCGATCCTTTGTTACATAGGTTGTACGGCTTCACGTGCTGTCATCGAAGCCGACGGAGAGCAAACGATGCAGCCAGTTTGATATCTAAATATGTACTGTCATAGACCTAACTGTCGGAGTTGTGGAAGAATATATATGTAACAATGTAAAACATTATGAAGAGAGCGCCGAAAAGCTTTCGTAAGACCAGTCTCTTCTTATTATGAATATGCGCGTTTGATTACAAACAAGAGAAAAGTCCGGTCACGTGATATGCAAATTAGCCTGTGGCAGTGATGTTAAGTCATCGCTGTGCCGGAGTGTGCTCCTTGTTATGATCCAATATCCGTGCTTCAAAGTGTTCAAAATTAACATTGGGGTGTTCGGTAAGATAAATACGTTGTTCACTGGGCCCATGGGTTTATGTATGTTCCCTCGTGACCAGTGAACAACTTAGCATTAGTCCTGCTATATCACGGCGGTGGACACCAGAAATGGGCTTCACATATTGATTCATATGGGGAATCGAACCCGGGTCTTCGGCGTGAACGGGAACGCATTAAGCATTAGCCTACGCCACCGCCCCTCCGAACAAAGACACTCGCCCAAGGGGTACATCATGTGTGTTACATTTATGGAAACCCCAGGCTCAACCTGCTGAAAACGGGCAACCGACCAGCGTTACGAACTAAACTTCACCTGATTTGTGAGGAATGCTTGCTTATCCTGTATTAATGTTATTCGTGACAAGTGTTTTGCCATTCCGGTATTGAGCCGATCTGTGCAGAGTTGCGTCTCTTAGTCGTGGTAGGAGCAGAAGACCGCTGGTCCGAATTCCATTCTCTACTCTGATTGCATGTCTTGCTCTGTAAATGTATGTTACTAACGATTGCTAATCGATTAGCTAAATATTCGTGTACATGTATCTATACATGTATAGCTGGTTACATTGTTTTAATGTGTGGAGGTTTTTTTTATGTCGACTCTCTCTTTCTCCCCCCCCCCCCCTCTCTTTCTCTTTTTCTCGTGTGTGTATTACAGAAATATATGTTTGTTTATTTCTTTAATAGGCCAACGGCCAACATGAAAGATACATTGTACATACTTTCAGAAGCGCACTGACAACATAACCCATAACCACCCCACCCCACCCACACCCACCCACACACACTTACAAAAGCCTTTCGTGACAAAAGATAGCACTAAAATGAAAATAAACATTCATGGAAAATTCAGAGTATAGTTTTGTTTTATCTGATATATTAGATAAACAAATTTGGCTAAGTTGAAGGTTAATACTTCAACTTTAGGTTGTACAAGATTTATAAACTTTATCATGTTTGGAGACTTGTATACGTCCAGAGCTAAATAGCGACGTCTAAATGTCAAATACTTAGGACAAGCCATGAAAATATATTCATCCTCTATATCATTTTTGCAAAAAGGACATAATCGGTTTTCTAAAGCTAGTGTTGGTCGAGCCCATCTTCTTTTCTCAATCTTAAGTGAATGAGAAGATAATCGTAAGCGTGTCAAGGCTACCCTATAGTTTATAATATCAATTTGAGATAAATACTTTTCCATGGTAAGTGATGATTTGATAAGCAAATATATTCTTGTTTCACTAAGTGAACTTAAACTATTTTTCCACATTTGTGAATGTATATCAATAACTCTTTGTCTAAAAGCACTTATGAATCCTGTACGATTTAGAGTAAATTTCTGTTGTAACCAAATAAAACCATATCCATAATGAAACAACAAGTCTCTAATCAGAGTAACCCATGTCGTATATGTTGGATTCTGCCAAGCGTTGTCGACTAGAGCCCTATATATAATGCGTATATATCGGTTTTCGTCACAGGTGATAATCTTAATCCAATATATATATCAAAGAGATTTTTTATTTGTCAGTATTTATTTTAAATTTAAAGGACTAAGCTTCAAACTGTTACATTTGGCGTTATAGCGAAAAAGGATGAATCTGATTTCGGAAGTTCAACTAAGATATCACGCCGGAAGTTAATAAATGTACAATAAAACTATAATGCAAAGTCAAAGTGGTGTGGCTAACTCAATTTATTAAGACACCCCCAATAGTTAATTAATCAAGGAACAACGCTAATAAATTAGCCCACTTTAGGGGCGTAGGAACAAGGGGGGGGGGGGCTTCGGGGAGGCTTAGGCCCTCCCCCTTTTTTTCAAGACGAAACCATATCTACCTTACCATAACTACAATTTCATTTTGATTTTCAAAACTTTTCATAAATTAGCCCCCTGCTCTGAAAACCGTTCCTACGCCCCTGCACTTTACAAAGAAAAACACAGGCACTAATCTAAGATTAAAGACAAATTGTACCCCAACAGTACATAACTGTAACTCCAACAGTACATAAACAGGACTATCTTTCACATACTGAACCCAAGGTTCCAGGTCGAGACTTCAGCGGTAATCATCAGGAGACAAACAGTAGCACTTCGGCCTCGCAGTCACTGGATGTCCTGATTCCAACTCATTCCGTCTTTATGAAAATTCAAGGCCCGGCCAGAGAAAACAACTGCCTCCTAACTAAACCTGGCCGCTGACATAATTTGTGCTCGTTTGCCGTACAACATAGGCAAAAGTTTCGTTACAGGACTATGTACAGTAAATTATGATATATGTATACTAAAGAATGACCTATACTACACGAATGTAGTATACTGCACAACTGTACACTTACATGTAAGATGTATCAGAACGATGGCGGTAGCACATACGTAGCTGCGCAGAAAACATGCGCACCAACAAGGGTGGAAAACCTCGTGACAGTCCCATTCCACTTTTGGAACATGAAATGTTACAGTGACAATTGTATACATGCTAGTTGAAACTTAATCCATATCACGACTATAACGAAACTGAATACTTCAGAACACAGAAGCATACAAACAGTGCATATTTTGCCAGATGCATGTTACTTAAAAATAGTGCATCAAAATGTCATTAGATATTAGAGAAGCTATGCATTTTAATGGAATAAGAGAGCCATTATCACACCGTTGCTAAAGAAAGGTGGCATGCACAAGAACAATAGACCTATAGACCAATGTCTAACCTGGCATTCCTATCGAAGGTAATAGAGATGGCAGTTGCCACCCGCCTTAAAGAGTATCTCGTCAACAATGACCTTTATGAGAAACATCAATCAGCGTACAGAACGGGTCATAGTACCGAAACTGCTTATCAAAGTTATTAATGACGAACTTAAATCCTTGGACAGAGGCAATGTTACAGCTCTGGTATTACTGAATCTGTCTGCAGCATTCGATACCGTCGACCATAGTATTCTCACCACATGTCTCCTCTCACAGTTTGGCTTAAACTCCAGTGTCCTGGATTGGTTCATGTCCTATCTCTCTGACAGATCCCAGTGCGTTGATATCAATCGAGTCTCCAGAGTCCAGGCTTAAAAGATGTGTTCACCAAGGCTCAGTACTGGGCCCACTACGCCTTCAACTCCCTCAATTCTATCGCAGACTATCATGATCTCGGTCAGCATCAGTATGCAGACGACAACCAGTTATATTCTGGTTTTCCAACTTCAGGATCTTTAGTGAAAAGAGCATCCTTTGAAAAGTGCTGTACAGACATAAAATCTTGGATGACACCACTGCTACTCAAGCTGAACGAGGAGACGACTGAACTAATCATACTCGCTCTAAGAAGAACATTTCACTCTGCAACGCAATTCACCAACTCGATGTTGCAGGGTATCCTATCACAGCCTCTGTCAAGGTGAGAAATCTTGGAGGCACTTTAGACCAGCAGCTCAGCATAAAACATCATATAACCAAGATATGTCAATCTGCCAACTTTCACCTGAGAAACATTAAAAATCTCCTTTTTCAAATTTTTAAAGAGCTGTAGATAGAAGTAGTTCACTCGTCAGTTCTGTGTCTCTCATCTGACGAAATCTTTTCTATGCAGAATATATAAAACGGCAAAGTCCATATGTGTTCCAGTTTGGAGCATGATAAAACTCATAGCAGTTAGTAAAACGGTCGTAGGAGATAACCACTATCATTGCAAACACTAATAAATATATTAAGATTATGAATAATTTCACTATGAATATACTGTATGTAAGACAAGTATTTGATTTGACAGTCTGGAAGTTCTCATTCCTGAAAGTGGTATGTCCCATTTCTACTGATGGCATCTCTGTCAGCTGCCTTTTAAGCTTCAACTTCTCCTTCAAGCGTTGGGGTATTGTGCGCAGGAACCCCTGCTTTCCTTCAAGTGTTACTATTGATCGTGATATTCTTTCACTCGATCCGCTCTTCAGACTTGCCTTCAAATCACTGTTCATTTCCTCGGCCTTTGACACGAGGAGCTTAAGCCTTCCTATATATTCCTGGAGCTGTGTCACATTGCACTGATTTGCCTGATTTAGGGATGCCTGCATATTTGTCATATGGGTCATGAAATCGACCTTGACCTTTTCCAGTTGTTCCACTGCCTCAGCATTCTCCTGCAATAAGTCTTTCATCTTGGAGGAAGCCATATTTTCCGATGATTTTATATCCACGATGATTTTATCCAGTTCTTTTGAGACTCTTCGCATGTGTGCTTCCATTGAACTTAGAGCACGTTCCATAGGCATCACCTGTTTACAATGTCGGTGGGTTTCGATGACACACTCAGCGCAAGCAGGCATAGAGCAGGTGCAGCAGTAGCGACTTTGGTGTAAGCCATGGACCTGGCACTTGTCGTACGAAAGGCTTTTTCTGCCCTTGATCAGATCCTGGAGGATGTGATCAATTGGCAGTTCTTGATTTCCCGTGAAAGGCTTCTTACATAATGGACATGTACAGCCTTGCATATTTAAAGACTGCACGTAATTGTTGAGGCATGCTGAACAAATTCTGTGTCCACACGGAAGCAGCTTGGGCTTATCAAAGAACTCCGTACATATAGGGCACTGTAAGTCTTCTTGAGCCACACCTGAATGTGCCATTTCATCTGAAACATAGGTTTGTTAAATACAGTTCGTTTCGCGTCATCATTAAATGCTCAGGAACTAACTTTAGTTTAGTTTACCTGTTTTGACGTATCTAGAAGGCAATATTTCGTATCAGCTTTTACAAAGTTGACCTTTTTTCTATATGAAGACATTGCTCGTGATTTCGTCATATTTCATTGGCTAAACAAGCAAATTGTTTTGTGGTTATGTTTCCATAAACTAAACAACACCTAATGACAGAATGAGTGGGATTGTGGTGCATTAATGTACAGAACAATGACACTGCTCTTTTTATTGTGGTCCACAACGTGTATTGTATTAATTATCAAATACACAGTCTGTGAGTTTTTCATCGAAGACTAATCTATACATAAGAATTTATATTCATACCACATCGCAGTTGAAGACTCAGAAATAACAAACCAGATGAGTGTGTTTTGAATTTTCTATTATTGCAATGATAATGTTGAGATGTCCTACAAACACTGCGTGCGTAATACTCATAAACTGAAAGCTGTATACAAAAACTGATGCATCCCTAATATCAGACACCTGATTACGTTCACCATCTTCATCCAGTTTGTAACATCTGCATTCTTCTATTTGTTGTAGACCCGTGAAGGTCCGGGTTAGAATGTACCTTGAGCAACCCATGCTTGTCGTAAGAGGCGACTAACGGGATCGGGTGGTCAGGCTCGCTGGCTTGGTGGACACATGTGTCATCGGTTCCCAATTGCGTAGATTGATGTTCATGTTGTTGATCACTGGATTGTAGGGTCCAGACTCGATTATTTACTCACCGCCGCCATATAGCTGGAATATTGCTGAGTGTGGCGTAAAACTAAACTCACTCACTCACTCTATTTGTTGTAACTATATGAACAATGACGACAGGATGGTTTTCAAAAAATATGTTATTGGTTGAAGCGCCAATAAAATATGCGTGCTTTGTGCCGTCACAAAAGATCGTGGCAGTTACGGTGATCCTCTGTATGTTGATACTCACATATTGAGAGAGTGAGTTTGGTTTTACGCCGCTTTTAGCAATATTCAAGCAATATCACGGCGGGGTACACCAGAAATACTCACATATTGAAACGCACTGCGCGTTATACTGTGTTTAATGACATGTTTAATTTGGAACATTTCTGGTGTCCACCACCGTAATAATGGTTGAATATTGATAAAAATCGGCTTAAAACCATACTCGCTCATTCACTCATGGAAGCTCGGTTTGAAGGCTCGGTTTCGATTTTCCACTTTGTACAATGTGTAATTATGACTTAAAGGGGCATTGATTCAGAGCGAGTAATGTTTCGCGCCAACAGTCTACGCACGTCGCCACGCTGCCAGGTCGCAAGTCCCACCTCTAAACCGAAACATGAGTCTCATTAACCAATTCAGACAATGACCTACTTTTCAGCCGATCCGAATTTTCCCTTGTGAAAGTGAAAAGAGACACTACAAACAACGATGGTTACACTAAAGTCCAATTCCTTGTTTTATACGAACATGGTATTTACAAATAAATTTTAATTTTCAAGTTTAAAAAAATCCTATTTCTATATTTTATGTTGAGGTCTAGGCAGCAGTCTTAGTCGTTAACTAAGACGTCACAGACTGCCCATGTATGAAGAGGTCGTAAAATGACTCACAATTCATCTGGCTCACTGGTTACACCTGTTGTCTGTTCTTTGCGCTTATTAAGTGTATGTTTGTAACGCACAATGTGATTGATATAATATCAAGTCCGTAATATACCGCCAAACTTTTCTAGCGGCCAAGCCTCGTTTTGAGATTTCCATGATTTCCAGATTTCCGTTTGTCAGAGCACACTGTTCGGATGCCCATCATATGCCGTTATTCGAAAATATCACTGGTATTTCTGGTCTGCTTGTAATAAAGTATCCCGGCAGTGTTTGAATCCGTAAACTAAATCAACCCCACTTTACTTAGATCAATAGGTTTATACAGATTTTACACAGAAAATGCTTACATAAGAAAGATGACTACGTTTTCATACTGATTCCAAAACGAAACTATATTTTATGTTTGTTGATCAATGTAAGGATATATATTATGCTTATACTACCAATTGTGCTTGCGGATGGCGCAGCAGACATCGCAATCCAATCAAGAATTCTGGGATCATATCATTCGGATTGTCGCAGGGGAAAAACAATAACAAAAGCGACAACCAGTCCTGGGGAATTGCTCTAGATCAGTGCCCCTTTAACACAGCCAAACACCCAACAAATTAAAAATGACATGTGAATAGTTAACAATATTCAATATTTTGACATTTACATTTCAGAACGACAGAAGTCTTCATAACGTTCAATAACTAGCTATTAGGGATATACTTGTGTTCATAGTTTCAACTAGCAATTCTAACTTGAATGTAGCTGGTTCCCGACTCCTCTAACTTGCGCCATATTGCGATATGCGAGACGGGGCCAAGCTTAGGTTTCAATACGGGTATGTTGTCACCTCGGCGACCGGATATATTTCATGTTTACCGATATTTCCAATGCCTCGCAATGAAGTATGTGAAGATATGTATTTGTCTGAAGCGAATACCTTCACGCAGTTAACACGGAACGTAAAGGGCCTTTGTGTCGATGGCTACAGTACAACAAGCGTAAACAGGAACACACCCGACCTACTTGAAATACCGCTGTGATCCCACTTCCTTGTTTGTGATGGAACGAGTTGAGACGGTCTGTCAGTCCTGCGTGAGCATGAACGGGCTAAACACAGACAAGTACTTTCCTGAGACCTCTATAGTGATGCAATATCAAATCAATATCTAGCATGTTTATGTTCATGACCGCCACGTACACACGACCATGGTAATCTCTGCCCTGGGCTAATTTGCATATCACGTGACAGGTTATTCTGAAATCGGAACAGGTTGACTTTCTATGCGCGTTGGATATTGATTGCCACAGTTATGTAGACAGCGTTTGAACTTTACGTCGGTCCTTATTACCTTAACTATTCGGATCATATTTATATATAGGGCCTACGCATTCTGATCAGGGCCCACATATTTTTAAGGTTAGGTCTTTAGGGCCTGCAGCTTTTCAGGGTTAAAGGACGGGGTTCAAACCAATACACAGATGGCATGTGGCCTCCTTGCCTTGTCAAAGCTGTCTTACGATGCAAAGCAATGCAGTATACAAATACATTCCATGAAATATCACAAACTTGATGACAGCACATGAAGTTGTACAACCATGCAAAGAAAGGAGACCTACCCAGAGCCAAATAGTGTTTCACGTTATGTGCTAAAGTTTAGGATACTCTGCGTTTAGTGAGGGAATCAGGAAATATCTTTTCTTCAGGCCTAAGTCCCAAAATACACCGTTCACGGGTGTTACGAAAATGTACTGTGAGTCAAACAGGATTGGTTCCTCTTCATATAAAAGACAACTGGGAGCCAAGTTACACAGTTTCAACTGTGGCTAAATATATGTATGTACATAGGTCATAGTGAGGTTCACATGAGCTGCGTACATAAATCATAATAAGGTTCACCACATGACGATCGTACATAAGTCATAATGAGCTTCACACGGGGCACGTACATAGGTCATAATGAGGTTCACACGGAGCACGTATATAGGTCATACAGAGGTTCACACGGAGCACGTATATAGGTCATAATGAGGTTCACACGTAGCACGTATATATTTCACAGTGAGGTTCACACATGGCGCGTACACGGGTCATAATGAGGTTCACACGGAGCACGTACATAAGTCATAATGAGGTTCACACGTAGCACATATATAGGTCATAATGAGGTTCACACGTAGCACGTATATATTTCATAATGAGGTTCACACATGGCACGTACATAGCTCATAGTGAGGTTAACACATGGCACGTACATAGGTCATAGCGAGGTTCACACGTAGCGCGTATATATTTCATAGTGAGGTTCACACGTGGCACGTCCATAGGTGATAGTGAGGTTCACACGTAGCACGTATATATTTCATAGTGAGGTTCACACGTGGCACGTCCATAGGTGATAGTGAGGTTCACACGTAGCACGTATATATTTCATAGTGAGGTTCACACGTGGCACGTACATAGGTCATAATGAGGTTCACACGAGGCGCTTAAATAGGTCACAATGAGGTTCACACGTAGCACGAATATAGGTCATAATGAGGTTCACACGTGGCACACGTGAGGTTCATAGCGTACATAGTGAGGTTCACACGTGGCGCGTATATAGGTTATATAGGTTCACATACATAGGTCATAATGAGGTTCACACGTAGCGCGCATAGGTCATAGTGAGGTTCATAGGTCATAGTGAGGTTCACACGTAGCACATACATAGGTCATAGGTCATGAGGTTCACACGTAGCAGCGCGTACATAGGTCATAGTGAGAGGTTCACACGTAGCGCGTACATAGGTCATAGTGAGGTTCACATAGCACGTCATATAGGTCAGTAGGTCATAGTGAGGTTCACACGTAGCACGCAGCGATTGTACATAGGTCATAGTGAGGTTCACACGTGGCGCGTATATAGGTCATAGTGAGGTTCACACGTGGCACGTACATAGGTCATAGTGAGGTTTAGCACGTACATAGGTCATAGTGAGGTTCACACATGGCGCGTACATAGGTCATAGTGAGGTTCACACGTGTAACGCACGTATATAGGTCATAGTGAGGTTCACACGTAGCACGTACATAGGTCATAGTGAGGTTCACACACGTAGCACGTACATAGGTCATAGTGAGGTTCACACGTAGCACGTACATATAGGTCATAATGAGGTTCACACGTAGCACGTACATAGGTCATAGTGAGGTTCACACGTGGCACGTATATAGGTCATAGTGAGGTTCACACATAGCGCGTACATAGGTCATAGTGAGGTTCACACGTGGCACGTACATAGGTCATAGTGAGGTTCACACATGGCACGTACATAGGTCATAGTGAGGTTCACACGTAGCACGTACATAGGTCATAGTGAGGTTCACACGTAGCACGTACATAGGTCATAGTGAGGTTCACACGTGGCACGTACATGGCACGTACAGTGAGGTTCACACATGGCACGTACATAGGTCATAGTGAGGTTCACACGTGGCACGTACATAGGTCATAGTGAGGTTCACACTATGGCATAGTCATATGAGGTTCACACACGCACGCACACGCATATAGGTCATAGTGAGGTTCACACGTACGGCACGTATATAGGTCATAGTGAGGTTCACACGTAGCACGTACATAGGTCATAGTGAGGTTCACACGTAGCACGTATACATATAGGTCATAGTGAGGTTCACACGTGGCACGTACATAGGTCATAGTGAGGTTCACATATGGCGTACATACATAGGGTCATAGTGAGGTTCACACGTAGCACGTACATAGGTCATAGTGAGGTTCACACATGGCGCGTACATAGGTCATAGTGAGGTTCACACGTGCATGGTCGCGTATATATTTCATGGCATAGTGAGGTTGAGGTTCACACGTGCACACGCACGTACATAGGTCATAGTGAGGTTCACACGTAGCACGTATATAGGTCATAGTGAGGTTCACACGTAGCACGTATATATTTCATAGTGAGGTTCACACGTGGCACGTACATAGGTCATAATGAGGTTCACACGAGGCGCTTAAATAGGTCACAATGAGGTTCACACGTAGCACGAATATAGGTCGTAATGAGGTTCACACGTGGCACGTATATAGGTCATAGTGAGGTTCATACATGGCGCGTACATAGGTCATAATAAGGTTCACACGTGGCATGTATATAGGTTATAGTGAGGTTCACACGTGGCACGTACATAGGTCATAGCGAGGTTCACACGTAGCGCTTAAATAGGTCATAGCGAGGTTCACACGTAGCGCGTACATAGGTCATAGTGAGGTACATAGGTCATAAAGACGTTTACACGTAGCACGTTAACATGGCGATTGTACATAGGTCATAGTGAGGTACATAGGTCATAAAGAAGTTTACACGTAGCACGTTAACATGGCGATTGTACATAGGTCATAGTGAGGTTCACACGTGGCGCGTATATAGATCATAGTGAGGTTCACACGTGGCACGTATATATTTCATAGTGAGGTTCACACATGGCGCGTACATAGGTCATAGTGAGGTTCACACGTGGCACGTATATATTTCATAGTGAGGTTCAAACGTGGCATGTACATAGGTCATAGTGGGGTTCACACGTGGTCATAGTGAGGTTCACACGTAACACGTATATATTTCATAGTGAGGTTCACACATGGCGCGTACATAGGTCATAATAAGGTTAACACGTGGCATGTATATAGGTCATAGTGAGGTTCACACGTAGCAATTACATAGGTCATAGTGAGGTTCACACGTGGCACGTACATAGGTCATAGCGAGGTTCACACGTAGCGCGTACATAGCTCATAGTGAGGTAGATAGGTCATAAAGAAGTTTAGACGTAGCACGTTAACATGGCGATTGTACATAGGTCATAGTGAGGTTCACACCTGGCACGTACATAGGTCAGAGTGAGGTTCACACATGACAACCGCCTCCGTGGTGTAGTGGTTAGAGCGTCCGCCCGGAGAGCGGAAGGTCGCGGGTTCGATCCCCGACCGCGTCATACCAAAACACGTTAAAATATGGTACTTGTTGGTCCCTGCCTGGCGCTCGGCATTAATGGGTAGAACAAGGACTGGTCGGCTCGGAGTCAGTTTAATGTGTCTGAGTGGGGTAATCATGTTTCACTGCGGCATGGTATCTCAGTGGGCTAGCACTATAAAACCAGCTTAAGTCTGGGCTAGTACAAGCAGCCGCACATACACATACACACGCATGCACGTCGTCATATGAGCGAAATATTCTCAAGCACGACGTTAAAACCCAATTTCACCCCACCTCACCTCACACATGACACGTACATAGGTCATAGCGAGGTTCACACGTAGCACGTACATAGCTCATAGTGAGGTTCACACGTGGCACGTACATAGGTCAAAGTGAGTTTCACATGTGACGCGTATATAGGTCATAGCGAGGTTCACACGTAGCACGCATAGGTCACAGTGAGGTTCACACGTGGCGCGTACATAGGTTATAGAGAGGTTCACACGTAGCACGTACATAGGTCATAGAAAGGTTCGTATGACGATCGTACATAGGTCATAGAGAGACTCACACGTGACACGTACATAGGTTATAATGAGGTTCGGCTCGTAAGCAGGTCATGGGTTTGGTTTGGAACAAACCCCAATGAGGGTTACCTAGGCTTGTAATGAGCCATTCGATGTATAGCGTTGAATGCATTCTTCATTTAGTCCAGCAAATCCCAAAGTAGAAGTAGTAGAATCCAATGCTGCTCGTGTAAGGCGAGGTGGATCTAGTGATTGTCTGGCATTATCTCCGATATCGTTGCTCATCATTTTGTCCAGCCTATCAGCTCTCTACGTCTGTACGTTTATACACCTGCGTCATCTGTGCGAAGTACTCAGTGAGAAAGTCAATCCTGACGGCAAAACATCAACAGTGAAGAATGAACGCCCTCACACAGGAGGATCCAGAGGGGTGCGACATCCCCGCCTCTTGTCATGAAAGTTTATAAAATGACCATTGAAACTCTAGTGAAAAGGTGTGAAAATGAACTGTGACCACCCCCTATCCCCCTTTCTCAAAAAGCTGTGTCCACCCCTGCCTCACGTTTCCCTGGTACTTTCAACGCTTAGTGATCATCACATCCTCCCGATGTCAGGGGTGAGTGAGTGAATTTAGTTTTACGCCGCACTCAGCAATATTCCAGCTATATGGCGGCGGTCAGTAAATAATCGAGTCCGCAGACCAGAGGGATCAGCATGAGATCATCTACGCATGAGCATGTGTCGATCAAGTCAGCGAGCAAATGGATCCAGTTAATCGCCTTTTGCGACAACCATGGGTTTCTGAATTCTAACCTTGATCTTCACGTGTATCGATGTCAGGAAGTTAACTGACTATAAAACTCCATAATGACGCATACAACATTTATTGCACAGAGCGACGTTTCGGTGAAGGTTCTTACACCGTTATCGATTTAAAAGTGACTATAAACCACGTGATGAGAAGTATATGTGCATGGAATGTTATGACATACAGCAGATTAAGTTTAACTGCATGTAGTTGGTAACAACTTACAAGTAGCACATACTAGTACTTGGATAGGGCCAGGTGGGGCCACAACAAACAGCTCGGTGTGATGAAGCCAATAAACAGGAGGGATTATTGACTCACCAACTTCTAAAATGTCGATCAAACAATTATAAAACTAGTTTCCACCGATTTAACATACAAAAAGGTAATTACAAAGCTGACATATATTTTTCAGATGTCACATTTCTCATTACACAAGTATTGTTAGCATTTAGATCTTTACAGGATACAGTAAATAGTAGACCCATTGACACAACTTTAAAAAACTTACAAACGCCTTTTTATAGATTGTTGAGCAATGAAACAAGAAAGATGTAAAAATGAACCGTACTCTCTTGTTCAAGAGTTAAAACATTTACCTTTTGACACTTTTCCCAGCGTAATGCAAATTTATCTCAAAGTCTAAAATTCAAATACAAAGTTAACACCACAATAGCCTGTATCTAAGTATATCTTTCGGGAGTAATATGATCTGGGAAAAGGCTTTGACGACAAGTTTACGATAAATTAACCCAGATCTTCACGGTTACAAATGGCAGTACTTCCCACTTCGTTACCCGTAAGTCTCACGGGCGTTCCAAATAACTATTACAAATAGTCCATGAAGGCATGGTTGCCAAAGAATGGAACTGTCCAGTGATACCGGATTTTCAATATGACTGTGGACATTTGTATGAATTTCACAGTGGATACAGAGAGAACATGCTCAATGCATCTTGTAGGATACATCACATATTTCGGATTACAATCTCTGCGTGCAAATTTGACTGTTCTTTGGGTTTGTTTTCCAGTTAGGGATTCGAAGCCACAGTTTGAAAGATAGGCACGTAATCCAGCACACCAAGTCAGGGATCAAACACAATCAGCCGACGAAGTTTTCCGAAAAATGAAATTCGAACAGCTGACAGTCTGGAACACGTACTGTTGTAAACTACTAAGGCTCCCATGGTAAAATTAAATGGATTTTGTGTAGGAATATCCGGGTAGGAAGCCGACCAGATGGCGTACTCATTCGGCAGAAACACTGGTCAGTGAGACACCGTCCAATCCTACCCGCAGATGGGGCTGCGGCGAAGTAAGTCTCTAATCCCCCAACCACTATAATAGTACTGGTCAGGAAAAGCTATCGGCTATGAGAACCGTGTCAAATGTCCTAACATCATCGGTGAAAACATGCCTGGCCAAGTACACAAATAGAGGTGATGTTCACAGACAACTCACAAAACCTTCGTGACAGATGTGCACTTGGATTTGTCGACAAGGTCACCGAAAATGGCCCACATCAAACAAGATGTAAACAATCAAGATTATATAGGTTAGGATCCTTGGTTTGATAGCAAGACAGTTTACCTTGAGCGGTTGCAGTCTGCATTATTTCGGACTTTCTCCAGTGTCCTTTGACAATCTCTGGCATAACAGGAAGTGCTACTGCATTCATTGTCAGAATTCTACACAATAAAAGTATAATTATTGACCGTTGCAACACAGTTTAAAGATTGGCTTACACGTCGCGCCAATACGTTGGCGCAAGAATTCCGTTTCACGCATTGATAAATTGTAGAGAGGAAAGACAACTAAAAATCATCATTATTACGTGAATAGTCATGGATTCCGCCAACGACGCTTCTGGGAGTGGTGTATGTGTCTGAGTAGATGCAGGCCTGCGTTTTATTGGTCCGTAATATCTTACGTTATGAAATAGATTGTGACCATTCGTTGGGTAAGAATCATACATGCTGTCCAAGTAGTCAGCCTGTTTTGCAGATGGCTGCTCCTTCGCAACTACGAACGAGGTGAGAGGAGTGACAAACCCATAAGTCAATGACATGTTCAGTGCACGAGCTTCCAAAACCCCAGCCTCCTCCTTAGAGGTGGATATTGCCTTCTTCTTCAACAAGTCCTTGATGGTCAGATACGCCCACAGCTTCTCGGTGTACATTCCAGATGGTCCATGCAGACGTTTCTTTGAAGCCTCAGGAACTACAAGATGAACAGTTTTAGCAGTGGCCGTAGAACCTTGCACAGTGCCATCTACCTCGTCACCGAGTCTCTTTCCAACAACCACCACTTCTGTTCCAGAAAAGAACTGATTGTATGTCGTTTGGGTCAGTTGTGAGAAGTCTACTTGGTTGGAGTTATACTGAAACTTTACATTGAGGAGCAAAGGGATGTTCACTTCTTTAAAGAAATCCGTCAGTTGTTCCGCTGCGTCATCCTCTTCATAAATGCGCCTGGCGAAGCCTCCATTCTCCCAAGATATCTCCTGCAGGAAATTGTAATTCACACCTGAACCAAATCCTAGTGAGAATAAGGCTACTCTGTTGTCAACGTTATTACGTTGCACATTAACACGAATTGCGGATTCTACCGTCTCCCCCGAGGTTGGCTGGCCATCCGTCAGAAATACCACCATGGAAGCTTGGTTCATATTTCTTGTGTTCCTTGAAAGGATTTCCATGGAATCAACCAAAGCAGAATTTATATTTGTGCTTCCCAAGGCTATAACTTTAGCATCAACATAGCTACTGGCATGTTGAACATTGTTTGGGGTTGCTTGAAGAGGCTCCGACTGCCATACGACTGTTCCACTACTAAACAGCAATATGTTGAAATAATCTAGACCATTCAACTGAGGGAGAATCTGTTTCATTGCATCACGTGTTTGCTGAATTTTTCGGCCACTCATAGATCCACTCACATCAATAACAAATATAATATTTTTAGGGACAGGTGGCAAATCGTCAGATTTGTCAACAGCGAAATAGTGAACAAAAAAATCATTATTAATAGCTGAGATGATGTTACCTCCGTCAAATCCATGCATCAGATCATAGGATACAACCAACTCGCCGTCAATACCTCTGTCAGCATTCACTCGTTTCTGTTTGGACACAGGAGGCTTGTACATGACATGTCGACTGGACATCGTCGCTTTAAGAGTAGCATATTGTGATGATGCATCCATGGCGTCTTTACTGTGTGGGAGCCGGTATGTAAACCTGTCAAAATACTGAGGATCCTCTTCGTATATCAGATTTACAGTCAAGTTTTCGACAACCTGCCTGGGTTGGACCATTATCCTCTGCTCATATAGACCCAGGCGCCGCTCTAGTAACTGCTGGTACGTCAGCTCTACGTGGACCTTTGTCTCGCCAGCGACGTTGACGGAAGTGGAAAATATGTCCATCCCACGAGCTAAATCTGTATAATCGTGCCTTATGCGTCCAGCTGACACCCCCTTCGCTTTAGCCTCGTCATACTTTGTCTGGGCCTCTTCCTTGTCATATACCTTCGATTCATAAAGTTTGTTATCAATAAGCATGGTGAAATTTGATATAAAGGCCGATTCGGGTATCTGCACAGAGAAAGTTGCTTCTCTGCTGCTAGTCTTTGGATTCATAATGGCACTGGATATTTTGACAGTAGCAAATCTGGACTGCACAAAAGAGCGGACATAGAAATCCGTTATTCTGGGTGGCTCTACAGATCCTGTAGCTTGTCTTTTACCCCGTGGGACCAGGCGTTGAAGTGCGGAAATGGAGAGCGAACATTCAACTGAACACACCCCATGTTAATGATTACGAATAGCAGACAGGGAAGTAGCATTGGTCCTACTCGTGCCTCCATTATCAACCGCTTGTCACAATACCTTTCGTCTGCTGACACACTCTGCAGATCTTTAACTTGAAATGAAAATATGCAATAGATTCCAGGTTTCAGCGTCGTTCACATCCATGTTGATGAGACTGAGTTTCAAGCTCCATGCAGCGTTATCGAAGAGAAGCTCTCGTGCCACGTTTTCTAAATATAGTACATGACGCCACACAAGGTATTTGCGCAGTAGACTATTCTGTCGAATGGTGCTTTCGGAATATAGGTGAGTGAATGAGTAAGAATGGTTTTACGCCGCTTTTAGCAATATACCAGCAATATCACGGCGGGGGACACCAGAATCGGAATAAGGGAGTGCATGGGGCTTTCGGAATATGGGAGTGAATGGGACAATCGGAATATGTGGCATTTGGATCCATGTAAATGCTGGGGCAAAAGAGTTGTTTTAGGTGCTTTTTCGTCCACAACTTGCAGTCTCCCATTAACTACCACTCACTCACACACAACATTTGTAAACATAAATGTTTACAATCGCATTTGATCTTAAGATAGTTCCTGAAATTATGACATAAAATATATTCGATTATATCTGAAATTTTTCGAATCATCATTGAAATATATCTGTAAATGTAATAACAGTGTATGAAATACGACCTGTCCGACAGCCCCTAACCTAGTAACTTTTGTCTGGGTTGGCAAATTTTGGAAGTTTTGTTTAATTTTGCCATTTAAATAGACAAATTATCACATTCGGGCTGGCTATTTTTCAAACTTATTCCATTCACTGGTAATAACTGGGCCGTGTGTTGGTGATTTTAAAAATCAGATCACGGGAAACCTAGTGGATAGAATTAAATGTTGGTGAGATTCTGTTCTAAAATGGAAGCATATTTATGTTGTGTTTATAATGTTTCACTGAGACAAAAGAAGAAATCTAAGGTTTAATGTCTTGGGTTAGTGCACAGTGCGCCATAGGCTAACGCTTTGTTTTAGAAATTATATAAGTTTGATACAAACATAAACTCTATTTAAACTCAAAGGAGCCCCAGTGAGGTGTGGGAACCCGGGGAAATCTCTAGACTTGCTCTATTCAGAGCTTTGGCGTAACAGGAAGGGCTGCATGGATGGAAGGGAACTTGTTATGGTGAATTGTGCACCATAACCCGTCTTAATTTGTCAAAAAATACATAATCTCAATCGACAGATCAATACTTTAACTTTAGTGATCAAGTAGGCGATAAGAATGGACATGTTCAAAACGAAAGCAGTATAAATATATCTTTGTCTCGTGGACGTTTTCTTTTAAGTGAGGATCGAATTTAGACATTTTGTACCTTTTTTAAATGGGGGAGAGACATTTTTATGCAACAGTTGCGCCAAGAATACCAACATGCGCAACTCGGCCAACACTGAATAAGACCAACAGAGTCAGCTTAACATGAGGAGGAAAATTAACATTTTGACTGTCCCGCGATATTTACAGCAACGCAACGTTCCCCTCATTTCCTTTCTTAGCGTGATGTATGGACCTTATTTAATGAACAAATGAACTTTGTTGTTATTTGTACTCTTTTAACCATTACATATGAAAGATTTGTGGTTAGTCTTATGCGGAACACCAAATTCATTCTTTAAAAACTTGTGGTTAATTAAAGCGATTAAAAGTTGCCAAAAAGTCGCCTGCTTCACTCTCGCCCGCCAACGGCAGTGTTCATTTTATAAGGTGTATCACACCGAGGAACGGTGGAAAGAGGGCTAATAGTGGAGTCGAGAGTTAATATAGGGAATGAAATTGTTTGGAAAACACTAGATCATGTGAAAGCTAACGGAGTAGACAAAGGGAGGTTATTCCAGTTTCTTATGACCCGGGCTGATATCGATCAATTATTCAACATGCATTGAAAGGCCATATGAGTTCGGGTACGGATGTAATACGTGTCTGGTTGTAACATCACGCACACGCACACGCACACGCACGCACACACACGTCATATGACCGTCTCTATTGGGTCACGCAAAATGATTTATATCGTTGATATTCATTGATAAAAGGTGATATCGTCATGACATGATTTTAATTGCATCAGGTCTGGGAGATCATACTTCGTGTCTACAAGGTATAGTGTAACATTAAACTCTGAAATGAAATGTTTTGGGTTTAAATGCCTTTTCATATGTAATAGAAAAGAGCCCACATAAACTTATCTAGACTTGCCAAGGTGTTATGTTGAGAACCTCTATTCTATTACAGTATGATGGGTTGCTTGCAATGCAGTTACCGTGATCTGGAATAGCTACGGGATAAGTTCATTGTAAAGAGATCTGCCTTCACCAAAATGTTTACAAACAGAACAATATATGCCTTGTGTAAGTCTTATCGGAAAGATTATCATTGCCGACGTATGAGATACATTAAGTGACGACATGGACAAGACTGTAACTGGTTTCAATTAGAGTATGGACAAGACCCTCGTGAAGGCGCCCTCGTGAAGAAAAAACTAAATAAATAATGCTTATAATTTATTTTCAAATGATACACCTGTGCATGAATATAGGACGAAAAATTGGCTGAGCTATTTTGCAAACGTTTGTATCCTTGCTACCTTCCATTTCTAATAGGGTCGGTGGGGTAGCCTAGTGGTTAAAGCGTTCGCCCGTCACGCCGAAGACCCGGGTTCGATTCTCTACATGGGTACAATGTGTGAAGCCCATTTCTAGCGTCCCCCGCCTTGATTTAGCTGGAATATTGCTAAAAGCGGCGTAATACTAAACTCACTCACTCACTACATTTCTAATAAACTCGGGTCAAGGTCAAGGTGTATCAGCGTTGTCTACTACAGTCGAAATCTCTTGTGTCGAAGTTGAAGGCACCTACCTAAATATACACAACAGCAAAATGATACTTAAGGAATATGCAGGGACCAGGCTTTGCTTCGAGATAACCGTACGTTCGACTCAACGATGTCAGCTTCAATCACTGCTATATGCCGAAGCTGAAGGCACCTACGTAAATACATCGAGTTATCACAGGTTCGGCACAACAGCAAAATGATACCTGAAAAATACACAGAGGCCAGGCTTTTACTTAGAGTTATTGTAAAGGTTCGGCACAACGTTGTCAATTATTATTATACCGCTAGCTGTAATATTGTTAAAAGGGTAAAAATGCATCTTCTAAACAAGAAAGGTATAACAAACCCATAACTGAGAATTGCAGGCATTTCTTGACAGAATGGATGCTATCATTGCTTGGTAATAAGTCAACTGGGAGTAACAGAATCCAAAAGACTCTTAAAGGATTAGTTACTGGGGAATCACCAATGGGTAGTCACGAGGTACGACATAGAACCATGGAATGATGTAACTTTGAACGAATCAGAAATATTGTATCGGTACATATGATAAGGGCGGAGCAGAGCAGGCTCAAACACCACCAGAAAGACATCGTCAGCACTAGCAAAGTGGTGCTAGGTTCAAAGTCAGCAGAACGTTGTATGAATGTGCGCCAGTACATGAATTCAATCTTGGCTAGGACTCCCTGCCGTCCGACCCCTCACTCTCGGACTTGACGGACCAAGCGAGAGTCAAGCTTGAGCTGACATCTCCCCCTGACAATGTGGAACGGTCACATTAATAGGTAACTGTTGTAGGGTCTACTGACGCATAATGTCCAGTTACGACAATATTAGGACGCGATTAGCTTTGCCCATCGTACTCATTCTTTCTATGTAGGCCTAGTGGAAATACGTAAGCATCATAATAATAGCTAACGTCCTTGATACGAGGCTAAAATGATATAAACTGGGTATATGAACTGGGTGAAATTGAGTTAAAGACCTGTTAATTACATGTAAATACAATTTCCTGGAAAATGATATTTTGAAGTAAGAATACGACCTAGATTTGCTGCCATTTTTAAGTGAACTATACCAATTCTGTTTATGAATCTATTTAAGCCAACCCAAAGTTTATAATATAATAGTTAGTGACTGAAGTAAAAACAAAGACGTATCCAGGACCAAACGACCGTGGTGTATTGACGTACACATTAAATGAATTCAAATTACATGGGTAAATAACGGTAGATTGCATGTCCTTTCGACTAAATCGTCACCAGTATCCATTCTTCTCAGAAGAGCTGGCTTGGAAAAGTCGGACTTCATTATAACAATGTGGACAACTGAACCCGATCTTTGACGTGACAAGCCAACGCTTTCACCGCTAGGCTACATAGAAGTGATGGATAAAAATCGTCAAAATGGCGGTCGTCTCAGCCACTCAACAAGTTCGTCACCACTGGTCGCTTAATGTAACCGGCAAGGCCCATAATAACCGCAGTAGGTCACTGTGCGAAACTGTTAGTCTCTCGTGACCCTGAAACCATGCAAGCTAGATTTCCTCAGCTTCAGAAAATGAAGAAAGTCTCAGGGCTCCTTTCATTATATATATATATTTTTTTACTATGAACGTTTTTTTCAGTAAAATATGTTCATTTCAGAGACTAGTTGTTAGTCTACGAAACTGTTAACTGCAGTGGGAAAATGATAAACCTTTAAACCTTTAAACCTTATAAACAATGACCTGCACTACTGTCATTATTATACAATAACAACAAAGAACTTAGGCAGTTAGGTCAACAAGACCTGTTTTACTTTTCAAGAAAAATCACTGCAAAAAGTGCCTGCATTAGTGCCGTCAACAGCCCGAAAAAGCAAACTGTGAAAAAAAAAGTGTCCAATGCACATGTCAAAAAATTCTTAAGTCGCCTTACAACTGAATTCTGAAAGGCACCTTGAGGGACACACTCGGGTGTCAAGATGGAGAACTTCTCAATTTTGACAACCAAGTTTGCAGTCGGTACTTTGTATGCCAGCTTGAGAGACGGCACCTTAATGTCCAGGCTCTGTTTCAAGTGATCCCGTGTTCCGCGTAGCAAACCACGTTTCTTTTCCAAATCACTAGTCGCCTGGAACAGACTTTCATCATCTAATGAATCGATGTCCGCGTAGTCCTCCAAAGAAGTGAAAACCTCCCGTAATCGTGATGTCATTCTTGCATTTTCCTCAGTATATGTCTTTAGCATGGCCACATTTGACTTCAAGTCCTCGTTTAGGGCGTTGTGCATATCCGAAATCGGTGACATGAGAGCTTCCTGCATTTGATCCAGCTGATGAGACATGTCAC